AGCAGGAAGCACAACTAGGCAGAGTGAAAAGTTAATGGAAAAGGGATTTAGTTATCAAGTAAAAAGGCTGCAGTAGGTAATATGGCTCTAAGTTTCTCTCCCTGTTGTCCAGGATACTTCCACCAGTGATAACACGGATTGAATTTAGTCTTGATAAGATGCTCTCTCAGCAACTTGAAACCTATTCAAGTGGGAGTGATGCATTTTGGGAATGTCTACACCACAATGGTGATGTACCCTGGCCATTACAGCCCCAAACACACTCTGCCCGCTTACTTCCACATGCACCCTCCAGACCCAGAAATATGCTGGTGAAGATACTCTGGGATTGTCCACAGCAGCTGCTCACAAACTCACCAAAGATCAAACCACTTCTACATATAGGATTTTTGCTGAAAAGTCACTTGAGGTTTTGAAAATGTTGCCACCTAATCCAGCATCTGTCAAAGGGAAATTGGTGGTTTTTGAAAGATTCAGCTCACACCTTGGACATGGTCTCTGCCAAAAACAGATGGATTCTAGGATGTGTAGTTCAGAAACTGGGGGAAGAAGTCAGCTGTTGACAACGCATGCAAGGTTTAATATGGCCCTGCTTTCCTCAGACTGGAGCAAATCAGAAACCCTGCCCTTTCTTAAGTCTTCTCCATGGCAGAGACCAACAGCCGGTGTGAGTAATGGGCAGATTAATGTGATATAGCAAGTTAAAGGGAGAAGGTATACCATTCATTAGCTACCCCATGGTTATTGCTTTGTGTATCTGCTTCTGTCCCATGGTAACTTAGCCCTTTTCATTCAGGGCCAAGTGGCTGCAGCTTAACTTTCACTTGCCACGGTGTAGAAATAGACACATGAAAGAGTTATTGCTCCCCAGATACCTTTTAACTTGGTATAATTTGTTCATCTGTCCATGCCCCTACTCTTTCCTGGTTGTACTCTCCCAAGGTGCAGTACATTTATCAGACTCATTTTTTATTTTTCAGACTACGTGGCAAAGGACTGCAGGGCAGCTTACAGACATGGCAAAAGGCAAAGCGGGCTCTACGTCATCCGCCCCAAAAACTCTCCCTTCTTGGCAGTCTACTGTGAAATGGATGATGGGGGCTGGACGGTCCTGCAGCGCCATAGTGCTGGTGAAAATGAACACTGGTCCCGCCCATGGGATGCGTATAAGTATGGCTTTGGTCATCTGCGTGGCGACCACTGGCTTGGCAACGAAATTATGCATCTCTTAACAAGGCAAAATGTCTTCATTGTCAGATTTGTCTTTGTTGACAGCAACGGCCATACAAAGCATGCAGATTACCATACCTTTAAGGTGGATAGTGAGAAAAACGGTTACGCTTTGAGGTTAGGGGACTATTCAGGTGATGCGGGAGATGCTTTGACCACAGTGGGTGAGGCAGGTATCCATGACAACATGAACTTTTCCACCCTAGACAAGGACCATGACAGAAGGCCTGACACTAATTGTGCCGAATACTATCATGGAGGCTGGTGGTATGACGACTGTTATTCTGCCCTCCTAAACAGTGATAAAGGCATTTACTGGAAGGGTTTGTGTACTGCAGAGAAACCATGCAAGTCAGTTAAAATAATGATTAGACCAAATCCAATAAACTGTAAACTAGGTAAGAAATATTAATTATTTGTTCCGGGTCAGCTAGTGGCTTTTTCTGCTTACGTTAGCTCAGTTGCAAGGATGATCAAACCAGCCGCCAAAACACAGCCTGTGTATTTCAAGGTCTAATTTTTCATTCAGAGAATTGTTAACAACAGGGTTGAACATTTTGGATCTCAACTTAAATTAGTGTGAATCAATGCAGTTCATCCAAATTCAATACAGTCGTGTTAATTCACACCAGTTGCGGTTCTAGAGATGTGATTTGTTTCCAACAGGAAAAAAAGTAAAAAGTGGGAATGTTCTTGTATTCTCTGCTCTCTGATGGAAAAGTAGCATTACTGATGATTGACAGAGAACTGTAGGCCTGCAATACATGTGTAAATCACAAATAAAAGGATGGATATCATTTCCTTTCAAATAAATCATTCCTCACTTATGCAAGCATAGACATGAGTTGTGATTTCAAGTCTTGTAACCACGTGTCTCTCCCAAACTGTCACTTTTGCTTAATGGCTTTCTACGTTCTGCAAAAATAAAATACTAATCTACCTTAAAACACTGGGTGTGGTGGACAGCTTTGATCAGAAAAATGATATATTTTTATGCAATACGTAGCTAGTTTATGGACTTCATTGCCATAGGAGGTGGTGGGGGCAGATAGCATAGCCAGGTTCAAAAAGGGACTGGATCCGATTGATGTATTCATGGCTGTTGAACAGAATGCAGAGGTTTCCTTTGGTATCTCTAAACCAGGGGTGCTCAACCTCCGTCCTGTTGGCCAAATGTGGCCCGTGAAGCCATTGCATCTGACCCGTGGGGCTCCCCATAGGTTGGGAAATTTGGCAGCAGGGGAGCAGCGGCCACCATCTGCCACTGCCAAATTCCCACACCCCTTCCTCCAGCACAGCCAGATCGGGACCAGGCCACGCCATGCCCCCTTCTCTCTGTGCCACCGAGTTGAGGCCAGGCCATGCTCCACTCTCCTGCCCAGCTAAATCAGGGCTGGGCCATACCCCTTCCCCTCCGCCGAGCCAGATAAGGCCAAGTTGTCTCCTGGCCCCCTCCGCACAGCCAGATGGGGCCGTGCCTGCCCCAGGCACCAGATCACGGTCAATGGCCACATCTGTGGACAGCCTGTGGACAGACTGGACACTACCCATCGGGCCCACTAAGGGAAAAGGTTGAACATCACTGCTCCAAACCAATAACGGTAGATGCCAGGGAGGATACTGAAAAGGGGCTAGATAGATCACTCTACAGATAACCAATTCAATGTCCCCTGCCATAGCATCGATTTATGCCATGTCAGAGACAGAAATTGGGCTAGATGGACCACTGGTCTGACCCAATACGGCACTTCTCATGTTCTTATGTCCTTATTCAGCACTGCTGATGCCTCACTTGGAGCATTGTGTCCAGTTTTACACACTACACTTCAAGAGCCATATGAACAAATTAGAAACGACCAGACAAAAACGATATCAGAAAAATGTGTGACGTATGAGGAAATGTTGGAAGAGTGGGATTTTTGCAATCTGGAGAAGAAAAAACCATGTAGCATGATCTGATAATAGTCCTCAATTACAGAAATAGTTGAGGATAGTGATAAGTTGTTCTCTGCGTCCACAGAGGACAGGACAAGAAGGACTGGGTTTAAATTACAAGGGAAACTAAGGTTGGATACTGGAAAGAGCTTTCTCACTGCAAGGGTGGTTAAGCATTGTTACAGATTATCCAGAGAGGCTGTGGCATCTCCATCATCAGGAAATTTTAAGTGCAGGTTAGACAACACCTGGTTGAGACAGCTCTACCAGGAATGGTACTACCTTGAGCAGAGGGATGGGATGGATGACCTCCGAAGGTCCCTTCCTCATCTTTCTACAATGCTATGCCATTGTTTTATTCTTAGTGCAAAGAGAAAATATTTCTAAAGCCACGTCCACAAGGGATGCACACATCTCCCCAGAATGCACACATCAGCACTGGAACAGGTTACCCAGAGAGGTGGTGCAATCTCCATCCTTGGAGGTGTTTAAGACCCAGGCGGACAAAGCTCTGGCTGGGCTGATGTAGTTGGAGCTGGTCCTGTTTGAGCAGGGGTTTGGATTAGATGTGACCTCCTGAGGTCCCTTCAACCCTCATTGTCTATGATTTTATGCCACAACACATCAGCCTGTCCTGTCTGCAGCGCCCTATCTGTCATACCTCCTAAGGCTCCTATCATTTAAGGTCATTGCAAACACAAGTCCAGAGTTTCAGCTAGTATAAATCAGTATAATCGCAGTGTGGCTATGCTAGTTTGCATCAGCTAAAGACCTGGCCCTAAAAAGCACATATATGAATGCAATATTTTAGGGACAAACCAACCTAGCATCTCTAAAAAGGATCATGCCTCAGTAGTCTACTATAATTTCCTGAGAGGATAAGAGAGAAGTAGCTAACACAACTCAATGGGAATTTGAAACTATTCTTGCAAAACCCTATTTAGAAAAGCAGAGAGTCATGGAGCAATTAAAATACAAGATTAGAAACTGGCTGAAAGAATGGACACAGAACAACAGGCATAATTGGTTGATTGCCAACATCACAAAAGTTTTACCCCAAAGACCTGTACAAAGCTAGACTGATTTAACATATTTATTACTGAACTGGAAAAGACAATAAGACGTAAAGTAGCAAATATGGTGTATGACAAAAAGTATTTAGATTAGTCAGGACTACAGAGGACTGAAGAGCTTCAGATCATTTAAACAAATGAAGTGAATGGTCAATTGACTGTAGATGAAAAAATCAGATAAGAGGTGTACAAGGAAACATATGGAAGAAATAATTTGAGCAACTCATATACAATATATATATATATATATATATACATACACACCCATATACAAGGCTATAAATTATTTTATGGTTGCCTTTGTACAGCAGTCTACTGTTGGTAATAAAAATGTTTTTTACCACCATGACATGGCAGTTTTGATCTCATGCCAACATGATTGTCAGCACAGGATCTAAGATGTGGTCCCAAAGTCATCCTTCACCCTAAGAAACAGCAACAGGCAGAACACTTGCCCTATCTTTCATTCCCCGTTACCACTTCGGTTAACACTTGTCTGTTAATTAATGCAGCCTCCCCATCCAGCGGCACCAAAGATTGATTCCAGGTCCATGGATTATGAAGTGGCGAAATATGGGTGATGGGTGGCAAAAGACAAGCAAAGGTGGGAAGAATCATAGACAATGCGCCCGACTTCAGTGAGAAAAATACTGAATTTTTGGGGGGGGGGGAGAAAAATGAATGCTATGTTTTTCCCCTATTATTTTCTGCCACGACAACCTATAGTCATAAAATATTATAGTCCTATGATTTCTTTTGTCTGGTTTTAGTTGATCCTCTCCTACACTTCTGGGAGATCAGTATTATTATCCCCACCCTAGTAATAAGGAAACAGGTACAATGTAGACGTTGTCAAAAAGTCAAATGACTTGCCCCCAGTCGCACTGAATCATTGACAGAGCCCAGCATGAGAATTTAAGGATGCTAATATCCAGACCTGTTACTGTCACACACTGTTAAGTGATGGACAGAATACGTTAATTCAGTATGGCCTCAGGATTTAGTACACCAATGTATAGTATATAAATCATTTCCAACTATCTGCTATGCAAAAAGTTCCAATCCTTGCTACAGCTGATGCAAATAAACCAAGACGCATCTTATTTCACTTTTCATGTTCTGGAGAAGCTTCAGAGAACAATTTACCAATGAAATCCAACCTACTCAAAAAGATATTTTTACAAAATGAGAAAATGTCACCGGGGAAAGCAAGCGAAGGCAATGGGAGTCCAAATTAGGCATAATAAAAATAGTGAAGTTCTCAATGAACTGGCCTGGCCTGAGGCCTTGTGGTTAGGGTAGCTATCTAATAGTCTGGAGTATTTCTATGGCCTGTATTATATTTGAGCATCTTATAATCTTTGATGTAGTCGTATGTTATAAAGGTAGGGAAGTGTTATCACCAGTTTAGGATGGTCAACTGAAGTACTGTAAGATTCTGGTCATGTCTACCTTACACACTTCTGTTATTTCAGTTTGAGAGGTGAAGGATGTGTGAACCATGCCTAACACAGGTCTGCCAGAAAAAGCACTTAATGAAGAAGCAATTTTGCCAGGAAAACTATGCGTTTACCAGTATAGCTTGTTTCTTTGTCACTGGAATAAGCTATTTTGGCAAAGTAATAGCTTTATAGGTATCAGCTGTGTCTATGAGGAGGACTCTGCCAATATATTATTTTACCATAGTGCCTAGGAACCCTGGGCCAGAACCCCTATATGCTAGCTGCTGTACATACATAAAACAACAAAAATGATCCTGCTCCAGAGAACTAGCAGTCTGAGTATACTGTTATTCCCATGTTGGCAAAGTGCTCCAATTATAAATATGGCCTTACTGATTTGCCCAAAGTCAAATAGAAGGCAGGCTACATTTGCACCTTATATTTCTATGCCTATATCTATAAAGTACTAAAATAGATAGATAGATAGATAGAGCACAAGCTTTCATGAATCCAAGTTCACTTTATCAGAAGCTGTGAAAGGACGTGTGTAGAATCACTTTCTCCATGTCCATGGGCATGTCAACACATGCTATTATCATAGAGCAATAAACTCCAGCACATATTGCACTGGAGTTTATTGCTCCCAGGTATGCCGTTTGAATGTGCGCCTGGGTCTGCAACATGTTGAGCCAGGTTGGAGGTCAGCCTGCCAACCCACGGCTGCTCCTGCTCAGCTCAACATGCTGCACAGGGGCTGGCTGGGGCTTCCCCAGCTACCCCCGGCAGTGTCTACATGTGCGTTGCTACAAAGTAAAGAACTCGGCTGCAGGATAGTACTTAAATATATCCAGTACTTATATTTAAGTACTATCCTGCAGTGGAGTTAATTAGTTAACTCCATCTTAATAACACCGCATGTATAGACAGTGACGTTTTACTGCGGAGCTAACTAGGCAGCTCCACAGTAAATGTCTTGTGTAGACGTGCCCTGTTTTATACATTGCTCTATGCATGTCCTTTCGCAGCATCTGATGAAGTGAGCTTGGACTCATGAAAGCTTGTGCTGTATATCTACTTTGGTAAGTCTATAAATTGCAAACATACCCTGCCTGACTTCAGACTAACACGGCTAACTACATCTCTTTGCCCAACGTCAGAATAGGATGTCTGTGGCGCAGCAAAAAAGAAAAAGGAACCCAGATCTCCTAACCCATGGATAATGTGTTTTTTGACAGGGCAGATGTTTTGGACAGGCTAGCATATGGTGGATCCAATGCATTTAAGTAAAGACTTAACCTCACCAAAGGAGTTTTAATTTAATCTCATTTTCACTTGTTGCACTGGTAACAAAGCCATGGTTTTCTAGAAAAGGTGGTTTATGGTTCTTCAAATGTAGCCATATGGGACCATAATATTCTGCTCTGAGTTCCCCCCACATAACCTCATTAAGCCAGTAGAGACGTATAGATGTGACTGCCATGAGAA